TCGATAACACAAAGCTAATCCCCGAGGGGGGCGCCGCCTCCTCCTCCTCCTCGCCCTCCTCGCCCCACTCGAAGCTCGAGGCTGCTGACCGTGCCCTCCGTCGTCTGGGGCGGAGCCCTCGCCCCTCCCAACCCGCAGCGCCAGCAGTAGAGCAAGAAACGCAGGGACCGACCACAACGATGTTTGAAACGAAAGTTGCGCTTAAGACGAACACGAAACGACGCCTTGCGTTTAAAGCGAACGTTTGAAACGAAATCGTTGCCAAACGAAACGAAACAACGACACGAGGTGCTTGACACAAACACGAACAACGATACGAAACAACAACTATACAAAAGAAATGACGAAACGAACAGCATGACAAAGGCCGAAAACAATCAGAACAACGTTAGGGTCGGCCAAAGGGTGAAATGAGAGAAGACGGACCGAGGAGGGAGGTGGGGTGGAGCTGCTGGCGGCTGGCGTGCTCTTGGGGAGCTTCCTCCTCCTCCTCTTCCTGCTCCTCCTCCTCCTCTCTCCAGCCTCCTCCCCTCTCAGACAAAGCCAAGACGAAAATCACATCGGGTGATAATAAATCAAGAATCTCTGAGATCCTGCGGCTCTGGAAGATGCCTCGGGCACCGCGGCCTTGCCAAAGCGTTCCGAGAGCGTTCCGGAAACGCTCCGAGAACTTAGTGATCCTCGTCCTGGCCACGTCCGACCCTCTCCACCTGCCCGTGGATGGCCTTCAAAAACGGGCAGGGACTCAGGGTGGTGGAGCAAAACCTCCCCGCTTGAGCAAAAATGTGGCTGCGCATCCACACCTCGTCCTTGCCTGAGGAGCAAGCGTAGGAGAAGGAAGTGGACAGGGCGGCGGAGAAGGAGGAAGGGGAGAAGGAAAAGAAGAGGGACGATGAGGAAACGGGGAGAAGAGGAAGCGAGGGGGAAGGAGGATGCTGGAGGAGGAAGAGGAGGAAGCGAAGGTGGAGGCGGAGGAACTGGCAGGGAGAAGGAGTGTGAAGGCGAGGGAGGGAGGCTGAGGGCGGTGATGGGGGTCGCTGCGTGCGCAGAACAACACTCAACACGACAACGACGACGCCGACGACGACGGAGACGAGGTGCATCATGGGGCTTGTCGAAGTGCCCCGCGCCTTCCTCTCAGGCGCTCACACTTCCCTCCTTTGCGCGCCGCAAGCGTCTGTCTGAGCACAGCTGCCAAAGCGGGAGGGGGCTCAAATGTCAAATGATCTGCCAAGGCGTCTGGTCGGCCAAAGGGGCTTCGTGTACAGACGCCCCAACTCCCCAGCCTGGGTGAGAAGCCGGAGCGCCTATGAACAGAGTACATTCGCCGAGGGCTTCTAGGCTGGTCAAACGGTGCGGCGTGATGTGGGATGTCTTCTGTCGACAAACCCAAAAACGTGGGGGCTATAAAACATGGCTTCTACCACTGGGAAGGATTTGGAGAGGACGATCGAAGAATCACAATGACGACAATGACGACGACGACGCCCGCGATCAGGCCCGCTACCCAATCTAACACTCATCGCAAAACGCGTTGCTGCGTGACGGCCCCCCAGGGCGTTCCTTAACTGAACTGTGGTTCTACACTATACCTCGAGCCAGTCCGCAGCGCGTATCAGAAGTTGATGCGTCGGAGGATCGCACCGCATCGCCGATGAATCGCCGACGCGCAGGCGACGTCGGGATGAAGCAAATCGGACTCCGGATCGCGCCGCATCGCAAGCCTGAGATTTGGGGGAGCGAGGAAGTACAGCTACCGCTGTTCCCTGGACCTCTCCAAGGCCAATTTCGGGGCGAGCCCAACCGTGGCGACGAGGGAAGGGTAGCGATATCGGCATCTTGTCCTCCTCTGAGAATTTCTAGCGCCACCCCCTTATGCATGCCGCCAAGATCATACAGCAGGGGCTCGACCACAAGAAACCTTCCGCAAGAAACCCAACCCTGAGACCACAGAACGTCCATTGATTCTTGGTGTGGGAACGTCTCGCTCTCCACTGCAAAACCATCGAAACCCAAGGAACCCAGGGCACCCTGGAGGCAAGCAGGGTCTTTCTCGGCATGGGTCTCCACTGTACATCGAGCCCCTCCGACGCACGGCCGCCCAAACTTTTTCGCACGCGTCAGTAGCCCTAGAGGCCTCCAAGACAGTCCAAAGACGGCTCCAAGAGGGCCCCAAACTAGCCCCAGAGGCCTCAACCATTGCTCCCCTCGCGCATCTCCGCCCACCTCGTCCAACCTTGGAGGAGCAAACACGGCATAACAGGAACTTTTGGAGATCCGTGCGGATTTTTTGGATCAGTGCTCGGTCCCACTCCCTGGCGTGCGGAGCGCGCCAAGGGCGGCGCTGGAGGCGCCACCAGGGGGGTGGGTCTAGCGCCGATCCCAAAAATCCGCGCGGACCTCCGAAAATCTATGTTGGATGGCCAGGGTCGGCGGAACCAGCCGCGAGACCTTCGCAGTTGTACATGGAGCCCTTCCGAAGCACGGCCGCGCAAGCTTTTCGCACACTCGCGCCTCCAGGGATTCTCTTGCCGCCGGCAGCGAACGCATGCCGCGCATGCCCGCGCGGTGACCCAGACATCTGGCGATATGATGTTTCCAATGCGTGGCCCACATGCGGGAGCTCCAGATTTGCTGACGGATACTGTGATGCTTCGTGGGCGGCGAACGTATCCATATCATATCCACGCCATCGTGGACTGGATACATGGCGCGATCCCGTGGATACGAGGTCGCATGGATACGCTCCGCGCGGGGTATCTGCGAGAACGCGCCCCGTATCCTCGGGGTCGCAGCCCAGGGGACCAGCCCGCGAGGCCGTCGATACGAATATGTTGTCTCCGCCCCAGAATGGTAGCAGTTCGGTAAGTGTTCTCTTGGGCACCTCTGCCTATCTCCTCTTAGCACCAGTGGTGACATCTGCGATGTGTTCGTAACCATTCTGGCGTGTTAACGACTTTCGCATCGTTTACCCACCTCACTGTACTGAGTCGCTAGCACGTCAAGGTTGGGAACACATATGTTGAAAGGGACTCGTAAACCAAACTGTCACAATCGGACTGGCCCGGGGGCACGTCAACGGGCCAGGAGGGCCAGGATAAGATGAAGCCAGGATCGGGGCAAAATTTGACCGGGATAAAAATCATGCTCGGTTTTTCAAATCACCGGGGGCGCCGCCGAACGGGCCTGCCACGCCTTGGGCGCCATCGGCTTCGCGAGGGAAGAAATGCGCCCCGGCGCGGATGAAGCCACGGCGCGTATTTGGCCACGCGCGCCCCCGAGGGAATTCAGCGCCAAGCGCCCTTCACTCCAGAAGGCCCGACGTCAACAAAACAAACTTGAGGCCCCAAGGGGGCCCCAAGGAGGCGGACCGCCCAGACAATCACGCAACCAACGCAACGAAAAAACACGAAAATGCCAAAAAGCGCGTTACTCAATGACCTCTTCGGCCACGCAACACCGCGATAATGCCCAAGAAGGCATGGGAAAAAAGTCCCGCGCGCGACCAGGCGACTTCCCCGCGCCGCCCCAAGGTTACCGAAGCGCGCCGAAATAACCGCACAGAACACCCTGGAAAGTCTTTGGAAAGTCCCCGCGCCATGCAAGATCCGCCGCCGAACAATCTCGCGGACACCCAGCGCGTACGCGCGGGCGTCCACCATGGATGCCCAACTCCGGTTTCCGAGACAATCGCGCGCAACCGCCTGGGGGCCTCGGCAACCTCGCGATTGGCCCAGGGGCCCGCGGGCCCCAGGGAATCGAAGACCGAGTTCGCAACTCCGGAAGCATCGGGCGCGGCGCCAGCCAATCGCTCGTCTCTGGCTGACAATAGGACGCCTGGAGACCCGGTAAAACCTAAGGAACCGCTTTTCAGAGATTCACAGAACCAGAAACCGGGGCGCGCCAAATTCTCGCGTCCGAACTTCTCTGAGAATATCTGAAAATCTCTGAACTAGCCACCCCGCGTGGAACGTCCCCATAAACCCAAAACCTCGGAGCTGGCCGAAACTCTCTGAGAGTTTTTCGGCCCGCGAAATTTGGCGCGCCCGGATTTCTGGTTTCGAGATTCTCTGAAATCGCGCTGCGGCGGCGCCCAGCAGGTCCTCGCGGGCCCAGGGTGGGGGCCGTGGACATCGCGGGCCGCGGTGGTCCCGACCGCGAGGTCCTTCCTCCTGCCCCTCGACGAGTCCACGCTCATGGACACGCTCTCTGCGCTGAGCGTGGACCGCGCCATCCGCCGGTACTTTTGCGCGACGACAGCCAACTGGCCGCCGACGGACAAGGCGATTTTTCTCCGAGCTGCGCGTGCCACCGAAAACGTACAATAGCCCCGGGCTCGGGGAGAAACACTTTCGAAGCATTTTCAGGCCGCCAGCGTCGTGGTTGCCGACCCGCCGCGCGCCGACCGAGAGACGAGCTGGGTCCACTACGTCCACGGCGGCGGGCGGGCGCCCAAGAGCTGTCGCCGCGGTGCGCGCGGCGGGGCGCCCGCCCAACTGCAACCGCAAATGCGGCCTCCATGGCGCCACAGGCGTAGTAATATGTGCGACGCATTCTCGGGCCCTCCATCAGCGCATTGGTCAGCGCCCAAGTCGCTGAAACGCAAACCTACTGCGCCCCCCGTGCAAGCCGCGCACCCGCTCACAATGCTAGTGCACACCAGATTTTCTGCCCGCCCTCAACAGTTGAACTGAGCGCCCATGTGTTCCTTGGGCTCATCAAGCCGTCGAACACTCTTTGGGAACTTCTGCGAATGCGCGCGCTACGCTCCACAAATCGGCGTTCTATTTTTCTCTGGAACTCTCCCAAAATCTCTGGTTCCGATTTGTCCCGATCTCCCGCTCGACTGACAGGAGGAGCAGGACGTCCTTATTACGTCCCTTCTCCTCCTCCTCCTCCGGCTCCTCCTCCGGCTCCTCCTCTTCCTCCTCCTCCTCCTGTCCCTCAGTCTCCTCCTCCGTTCTCCAATCCCTCCTCCTACCATTTCTTCCATCGTTCCTCCTGTCCCTCCTCCCCAAAGCGGCAGGACTGGCAAAATCAGATCGCCGAATCGATCCGCAGGATGTGGGGGCTGAAGACGTCGGACGGCGGCCCGCCTCACTGAGGGGGAACGGCCAGGGGGACCGGTTCAGGGGGTGGGGAAACACAAGCTTGGAATCGGTGATGCATCGTAGATAGGCAATCGCTGGCGATCGATGGCGTATCTGCGATAGGCGTTCGAAGGCGAATAGGCGATAGGCCATCGATGGCGATAGGCCATCATAGGCCATCGATGGCGATGGGCCTATCTTGGATCGGCCATAGGCCATCGATGGCGAAACCACGCGCACATTCCTGGGCGGGTTGGGGTGGGGGACGACAGGCCCCGATTGGCGATGAACGGGTGACTGGGGGATCGATGTTCAGGCAAACGGTGACATGGATTACAGATCCGGAGATCTGGCACGTGGGCGCGGGGGGAAGCAGTCCCCCCGAACTTAATTATGAGGCCAATGTCGCCTGGTCTGGCGACGGTGCGCGCTGGTGGTAGCATGGAAGCAGAACCCGTCGCTCATCCGCACTTGTGAATCAGAGACTTTCTCAGGTTCGCGCAGACTTCTTGGATCAGCGCTGACCCCCTACCTGGCGGGCGGGGCACGCCAAGGGCGGCGTCGGAGGCGCCGCCAGGGGGGTCAGGCGCAGAGTCAAGAAATCCGCGCCGACTAACGAGCCTCGAGCTAATCCTTACGCCTAAGGATGAGAAGCCCAAAGGCGATGATCATTCTAGGGATGCGCCCTCAGAAACTGAGGGAGTCCTTAGGATCGGGATTAAGACTAAGTGATGCCAATCACATGGGTAGGGATATGTTTCAGGCTCGCATCGGACCTCCGATTTGTTTTGCCTCTGCAGTCCCACCAGCCCTCTAGGGCGTAGGTGGTCTAGAGAGCTTTCTCTTCCAACCCCTTCTTCACCTTCGGGGAAGGGCTTATCACTATTCCCTAATATACACCTCCTCCCCCAAGCGACCAGCAGTCAACCCAGAACAATGCCGACCCTGTGATCCCCACCCCCCAACAATCTCTATCGAAAAGCAGTGCAAAACACACTCTGCCTCCAAATTCGGAGCGTGCGCAACCAACCCGATGCGGGTCCCCCCACCATCCCTGTCAAAAGCCTTGAGTCATGTTCGTGAGGCCCGCAGGTACTTTTTATTGTTTTTGACAGGGACGGCGTGGGTGTCAGCATATGCCTGCTGTGCGCAGGGCCACAATCCCTGACACAAAAAATACAATATACACCTCGCGGTTACATCTGCATCATGCGTGACCACGCCGCGATCACTGTCAAGTGGTGTTTGACAGGGACGGCGGGGGTGGTGGCGCATGACTTGCTGTGTGCAGGCCCACCAGACACCATGATGAGCATCGGTTTTTCGACAAGAATGGGAATGGGCGACATATTCCCCGATGTATGCTCTCACGTGTGCAGGCGCACCTGACACCATCTGCACGTGTCCCGAACGTGGTGCACCTGGCGGGGCCGGAGTATGTGGCACACCTGGCGCACGTCGAGCACGTGGCGCATCTGGCGCGCCAGGCGTGCCTGGCACGCTCGGGCCCCAGGGGTGCCTGGCGCGCGTGGCGCGCCTGGCACGCGTGGCGAACCTCGCACCAGCGTCGCGCACACGGGGTCGGTTTTGGTTCCCATTAGCTGTCCATCCAACGACGGCCGCTGAACATGCTGAGGCTCTGGTGTGACGTATGTGTTGGGAGAGCGGGTGGGAGTGAGCTAGACGGCTTGCTATCTAGGAAGGTGTCTTGATCACTGTTCCTTATTGATGTACACCCCCATCCCCCAAACGACCGGGTGCCAACCCGAAACCATGCCGACCCGCCCCCCACCATCCGTCAAAAACAATACAAGCCGCACTATGCCTCCACATGTGGAGCATGCGCGGCCAACCCGATGCGACCCCCCCACCATCCCTGTCAAAAAGCAATGCACCGTACACTTTGCACTTTGTATTGTTTTTGGCAAGGGCGGCGGGGGTGTCAGCATTATCCCTGCTGCGCGCAAGGCTAGCATCCCTGACAACACAAACAATACAACATGCACCTCTCGGCTAAGTCTGGATCACGCGCAGCCCCGCGATCACTGTCAAGTGGTTTTTGATAGGGACGGCGGGGGTGGTGGCGCGTGGCCTGTTGTGCGCAGGCCCCCCAGACACAATGACGCGCATCGGTTTTCGACAAGGATGGCGGAGGCCGACATATTCCCCGGTGTGTGCTGTCACGTGCGCAGGCGCACCTGACGCGCTGTGCACGTGTCCCGAACGCGGCGCACCTGGCGCGGCTGGAGTGTGCGGCACACCTGGCGCACGTGGATCACGTGGCGCATCTGGCGCGCCAGGCGAACCTGGCACGCTCGGGCCCCAGGGGTGCCTGGCGCGCGTGGCGACCCTGGCACGCGTGGCGCATCTCGCCCAAGCGTCCCGCACCTGGGGTCGGTTTTGGTTCCCAATAGCTGCCCATCCAAAGACGGCCGCTGAACATGCTCAGGCTCGGGTGTTACGTATGTGTAGGGAGGGCGGCTGGGAGTGAGCTAGACGGCTTGCGGGCGGGTGGGTAGCTTGACCCCTCCCCCAACCCCCTCCCCTGGACCTTGACAGGGCGCCCCGCGAGGCGTTGGAGCGTCCAAGATGGCCCGAGACGGCTCCAAGAGTGCCTCGGAGAGTCCGAAATGGCCTCCAAGATGGCTCAAGATGGCTCCCGATTCGCTCCAAGAAGCATCACGACGGCTGCGAGACGCGTAGAAGTGGCCCGAGAGCTCCCCAAGGAGGCCCACATCCCTCAAGCACATCATACAATCATTGTTCTTTGCGTTCTCGCATTTTCGCTGTCCGTTGCCTTCCGAGGCCTCAAGATGTTTCCAAGATGGCCCCAGAGGGCCCCAAAAGGGGCCGAAGGGAGCTACAACACGGCCCGAAGATTGCCCAAGGTTGCTCCAAGAGCGCCCCAAGAGCACCCCAAGAGGCGATTTTCTTAGGCACTCTAGAAAGGTACTGCTAAACAACTCCCATCTGTTTGTATCGATGTCTTCCAAGAAGGCTCCAAGAGCGCCCCAAAACCTCCCAAGAGCGCCCCAGGAGAGGGCCCCAAGAGGCGCCCAGAGGGCTCAAAGAGGCGCCCCGAGGGCCTCCAAGAGGCGCCCAAGATCTCCCCAAGCGGACTCGAAAGGATCCCCGAGGCAGCCAAGGCGCTCAAAGACGGCCCTGGGCCCGCCAAGATGCCCCCCCCCAGGTGCTCCACGGGGCCCCCGAGGCTGCCAAAAGACATCCACGACGGCCGAAGAGGCCTCCAGGGCAGCTCCCGGGCGTCCAAGATGCCTCTGGCTTTCTGCTCGCTCTCGTCCTCCTCCTGCTTCTCATCTGCCTACTTCTTCTCCTCCTATCTTTTGCTCGTCCCCCTCCCCCTCCATTAACCCCATCCACCCTACTCCTCATTCGACAGATAACGGGTGCCCCCCTATCTTGCTCCCACACTGCCCTGGTCACCCCTAACTCTCGTGGGCATCTTTTCTGGATGGTCTGGTGGGGGCACGCCAAGCATCAACAATTTGTCGTTCTTGGAAGATTTGGGGTCGAATGTTTCCCCCCCCCCTGGACCAAGTCCCCCTCCCCGCCATGCCGGTGCCTCCGCCTCACGCGCTGCGCCGCAGGGACCTCCTGGCGGGAGCGCGCACGTCGTCGTCGTCGTCGTCGTCGTCGTCGTCGTCGTCGTCGTCGTCGTCGTCGTCGAATGTCGTCGTAGTCGTCGCCGTCGTCGTCGAACGTCGTCGTAGTCGTCGCCGTCGTCGTCGTCGCCATCGCCTGGAGGCCGCGCGGGGCAGGCAGCCGCGGCACGGCTGGCGTCCTCGGCCAGGGCAGGCGCATCGACGAGCCTCAGAACGTGTGCTAGCGCCAACGTGTGCCTGTCGGAGCCCTGCACAGGCGGTGTGTTGCGAGCCGACGCAGGTTGCGTGATGTCGGCGGAGCCCGGCGGGGTAACACACACACATACACACACACACGCACACACACACACGCACACACAAACACACACACACACAAACACACACACACACACAAACACACACACACACACACACACACACACACGCGCACACACGCACACAGACGCACATGCAGACGTACATACACACACACACTCACATGCAGACGTACATACACACACACACTCACACTCACACGCACACGCACACACCAGCACACACACACACTTTTGCGTTGGCGGCTAGGCAGAGTCACTGCGCTGGCGACACACACACACGCAAACATTGGACAAATACTTGTCCTGCGGATCAACGAGCTCAGTCCAGCACCGATTCGGGAAATTGGCTCCTCCGCGCCAGGATTGGGAGCCGCACAGATGTACACTAAAGTATGCATTCGCCCGAACCATAGTGCACATCTAATGTTTAACGTTTCACGCTTGCGACCCTACCCCGAACGTGTCCACCAAACTGTTCGCGGTGGCGCTTGCGAGAATAGCTTCATGGTAACAATTCCTGTCCCCGATCACTCCAACATCGAATCGGGAAATCGGACTGGATCAGTGCGTCGGGTCGGAACCCAATCGGACTCGCCGCGCCACGATGCACATCAACCCCGTGCAAGAATCGGACCGCGACGGATCGTCGAAACACTGGCACCGAACAAGATGGTGCTGCAACCAGAGATGGGGCGCGAGGATGTGGCACAAGGGCCCCAAAAAAGCACACTACCACGGCGCGCCCCAACCGCGATTGAAGGCGGGAAGATAGGAAGGCACCAACTATACACCAACACCGATCCTGGCCAGGATCACCCTGGGCCCAGGATCGGTGTATACGCTCTCCTGCCTTGCGCAAGAAGGCATATACACCGATCCTGGGCCCAGGGTGATCCTGGGCCAGGATCGGTGTTGGTGTATAGTTGGTGCCCTCCGAGAAGAAACCGAACGAACATCGTCCCAAGAGGACCACCGCCGCCCCTGGAGCATCAACGTCTGCCGCGCGGCGGCCCTAACACTTCCGCGGCCCCCTGGCTCGGCCGCTCGCTCGAACCTTCCTCGCTCGACCTCCCCCCCCCCTTCGTGCCTGCCTCCGCTGCCTTGGACAACGCCCCCCGCTCTCCTGCGTGCCCGCGTCGCCGGGAGGCACCTCCGGGGGGCGTTCTGCAAAGGAACATCGGGGGGCATCCAGCCGTGGCGACGGGGCCATGCCGAGTGGCTCTGGAAATCGACCAGAAAACGAAAGGGAGATTCGCCGACACCGGCGGCGTGTGAGGGGGGGTCCTGGGCCATTCGTCCTGAGGCTGTCCTGGGGGATGCTCGTTGGGTCGAAACTCATCCCTCCTCCCATCGGCCAACTTTGGCTCTCCAGCCTCACCAACCCGAGGTGAATCGAGTCATGTCGTAATCGAGTCGAAGGGAAGCCTCTTCCCCTTGACCCCTTCCCCGTGGGGAAGGGGTGGAGATGTGGGGCTCGGTGAAGTGGGGGTTCGGTGGGGAGGTCCTGTGAGGGCTCCCAAAAGGGAACACTCACGCCTGGAAGAAGTTGTCTAAACCCCCGGTGGGGTTACATTCGGCCCAATTTGGTTCTCTTTCGGTAACTGATGCCCAAACCGTCCGAGACGACCCCAAGACGGCGCAAGAGGCCTACAAGACGGCCTAAGATGGCACCAGTAGGAGTCCCACGATGGCCTCAGGAGGCACAAAAACAACGATGTTCAACAGGTCTTGATTGATTGTAAAAGCGGTCGCATGTTCGGTCTTCGAACGCTCCAAGATAGCCCAAGAGGCCCCAAAGACCGCCACGGTTCAGGGGGTCCCAGAGAGGGCCCCAAGACGGCTCCAAGACAGCCCATCAGGGCAAGATGGGGAGCATGAACTGACATGTCAAGCCCTCCGCGCAAAGATGACCCCCGAGACTGACAGAGGCCCTGAAGAGGAACCCAAAAAGGCACCCAGGAGGCCCAGAAGGGCCTCGAGGGGCCTTCAAGATGCCTCCAAGAGGCCTCCGAAAGGCAGCCCAAGAGACCCTTACAGGCATTCAAGAGGTCTCTGATCCACCACCCAGCCAGGCGCGGTGGCGGGATGGACCGACAGCCACTGGATTCGCCGCTGTTGGCGGCGTGCTGAACTTCAGGTGGTTTAAATTCTTGTCTGAAGAACTCTCCCCGGGGCGTTGGTCCCTTGCGCCGGCCACCTGGAGAGCTAGCTGCGTCTCCCGTCGGCTTTTTCGCTTCAGATGGTCTCAAGATGGCCCCAAGAGTTTCCAAGACATCCTCAAGATGGCCTCCACGATGGTCTCCAGATGCCTCCAAGACCGCGCAGATGGTTCCAGAGAGCCTCGGATGTCCAAGAAGCGCCAAAGAGGCCCCCAAGGCCCCGGAGGGCCCAAAACGCCACAAGATGCCTCCAAGATGCCCGAGATAGCCTCCAAGACGACCCTGAAGCGGCCCAAGAGGGCCCCAAGACGGCCCCGAGAGGCTTCCGAAATTCATGTTTATGGTCGGAGGTTGGGGGGTGAGATCGAAGAGGAACTGAGAGCCCCCCGCTGGGAAATCGCTTTCGGTTTCGGGTCCGTGTCTTGCGTGCGGGCAACGCGAAGCTGCGTGGGCGGGCGAGAGGAAAAACTCCGCTGTGGCCAAGGCGGGTCAAGGGCCATTGACCGTGGTGGTGGCCAAATTGTCTCGACGTGGTGTCTGGTCGCTGTCCGCCTCTCCCCCGCGGTGGGCGGGCGGTGGCCCGATTTTTTGGCCGTGGTGTCCCGGCCGTGTCCCGTCGGTGTCCCGCTGGTGTTCCGTAACTGTCCTGTCGCTGTCCCGTCGCTGTCCCGCTGGTGTCCCCTCGGTGTCCCGTCGGCGTCCCGTGGTGAGATCGATAGTGAGATAGCTTGTGAGGCCCACACTAAAATCGATAGTGAGATCGAGCGAGAGAGATCGGTAGTACGACCGATGGTGAGATGGATAGTGATGTCGAGCGTTAGATCGATTGATGCCCCGATGGTGTCCCGATGGTGTTCCGTCGGTGTCCCGTCGGTGTACCGCGGGTGTTCCGTCGGTGTCTCGTCGGTGCCCCATGGTGATATCGATGGTGAGATAGATAGGTAGATAGTAAGACCGGTAGTGATGTTGACAATGAGAGAGCGATAGTGAGATCGATAGTGAGATCGATCGAGTGAGATCGATCGTGAGATCGAGCGAATGAGATCGACATGGAGATCGAACATGAGATCGATTGGTGTCCCGATGGTGTGCCAATGGTGTCCCGTCGGTGTCCCGCGGGTGTCCCGTCGGTGTCCCGCGGGTGTCCGGTTCGTGTCCCTTCGATATCCCGTCAGAGTCCCGTATGTGTCCCGTGGTTTCCCCCTGGTGAAATCGATAGTGAGAACACTAGGGAGATCGATAGGAAGACCGATAGTGGGATCTTTAGTGAGATCTCGAGTGGGATCAAAGTGAGATCGATCGAGTGGGAGCAATGGTGGGATCGATCGAGTGAGACCGATAGCGAGATCGATAGTGAGATCGATGGTGAGATCAGCAATTCTGGAATCGATGATGACGTACTGGTGTCCTGATTGGTGCCCCGTTTGTTGTCCCAATTCGTGTCCCGATTGATGTTCTGATGGTGTCCTGGTGGTGTTTCGATGGTGTCTCGGTGGTGTGCTGGTGGTGTCCCGATGGGTGCCCCGAGCTGGGTTCCGATGGTGTCCCGAATGGTGTCCCGATGGGTGTCCTGATGGTCTCCTGGTCGTGTTTCGATGGTGTCCCGATGGTGTCCTGGTGTCCATAGAGACTTGGAGGGATCGCAAAGAACCAAATACGCCAAACGGTTTTCAATGTCAGCATCACCGGCCACGGGATCGACTGTGATATTGAACGAATGATGTGCCGTCGGTGTCCCAATTGGTGTCCGGTCGGTGTCCCGATTGGGGTCCCGATTGGTGTCCTGATGGTGTCCGGTGTACACGCACACACAACACACATCAGGCCAGGCGATTTCCCTTGTGGCCGCGAGCGTCCCGAGGCAAGATAAATGACTCCACGAGCGCGGGGATGAGGGAACCCGAATTCGAAGCTTCGGGCGAATTCGATAGTGAGATCGGTAGTAAGATCGAGAGAGATCTCGATAGTGGTACTGATAGTGACTGCGACCGTGTGACCGATAGTGAGATACGCCACATGTCCCGTCGGTGTCCCGTCTGTATTCCATCGGTGCCCCGTCGGTGCCCCGTCGGTGTCCCGTCGGTATCCCATCGGTATCCCGTCGATGTCCCGTCGGTGTCCCGCGGTGTCCCGTCGGTTTCCCGTCGGCGTCCCATTGCCATCATGCATTGTCGTCAGCATCGTCGCCAACTCGTGAGCGCATCCCCAGCATCGCCACCATTACAATTATCGCAGTTGTCCTCACTTGGTTGTTTCCCCACCAACCTTTCATTACCCGAAGGGTCGTTGTATACGTTATGTGTGTGTTGTCTTATCTTCTTCGACTACCACAGTCACTCAAGGATCGCCTCTTCCTCGTCTGAGGGGCAACGGTAGAGGAGGGAGTGGCTCAGGGGCAAGACATCGACCTGGACTCGGCGATACATCGCCAATAGGGCCCCGGGCGAGGCGGGCTATCGGGCCCCCACCGGCGATGAGTGTGCGATTGGTGGTCGTTGTTTTCACCTGAGCCTATTTCCCTCCCCCACACCCTGTCGCTGCCCCTGATCTTCGCCGAGGCCCGGGATCCCCCACGCTCCTCGCGGGGCCGGAAACAAACCCGATTCCACTGCCTCGCGGGCCAGGCCCCTGGACCATGATCCCGTAAACACGGTGCACTTTTTCCGCGGGTGCCCCGCGTGGAACGCGTCCATGCTGCCCGAGGCGCCCAATGCATCTGTGCATTCGCGGCGTCGCGCTCGTGCGCGCGCCGCCACCCCTTGCCCCCTTTTCCCCTCTTCCCGTTCCCCCTCCCCGCCACCGCGTCCTCCCCTCAATGCCACAGGGCTTCCTTCGCGCTTGGAACGACATGTCCATGCGGTCGCCGCGTATCCACGGGATCGCGCCCGAGGATCCAGACCGCGCGAGCCCCCCGCGCCCCTTCTCCGCCGCGCCAACGCCCCCCCCAATCCGTCCTCGCGGTCTGCACCAGCGAGTAGTCGGCGCCACTGAGGACGGCCTGGGCGAGAGAGGGCTGGCAGTCGTTGGCGTCGTCGGCGTTGCCGTCACCGCCGCCGTCGGCGTCTGCGCTGACTGCCGCGCCGGCTTCGAGCAGCTCTTCTTCGACACCGCAAGGGAGGCGTGAACCTTGCGTGGCCGGGCGCGCACGAGCTGTCAAAAGCTCGCGCGCCCTCTTCGAAGTGCATGCCAATCAAGTTCCACTGATACCCATCGGTCGGACTTAAACACAAACGTTAATTCGACAGGCGTTGAAAAGTTTACAGGTTTCCGCCCGCCCCATGAAGAGGAGGAGGGCAAATGAACAACCACTCAATGATTGAAGTAGGAAGGCTGCTAAAGTAGATTGGGATCTGGAATTTCCAACATACTCACTTTCAGCGACAGCTCGGTAGCGATTCGCGGCGTGTTTTCAAGCGTTGAGAGGGTGGTCGTGGTGGTGCTGCTGCCGCTCTTTCTCGTCATCGCTTCCTTGCATCGTTGTCGCTCCGATACCCCTTCTCGTACAGTAGAGGCCCGTGCCAAGAAACACCCTGCTCGCCTACAGGGTGCCCTGGGTTTCTTGGATGTCGATGGTTTCCACACCAAAAAAAACCATGGACGTCCTGGTGTCTCAGGGTTGGGTTTCTTGTGGAAGGTTTCTTGTGCACTGGCCTCCACTGTATCCGCAGAGCAGTCTGGAATTACCATAGGGCCATCGGGAAAGAGCGCAACCCGCCTCCAGAAGCTTCACCCTCAGCTTACGAGCTCCGAGGCTTCGAGCAAGCCCTTCCTCAAACCGATGCTTCGATCGTGCTTCTCCCTGACGTGCTCGGTACAGCCAGCGTGCTACCAGAAGGAACGCCGAAGAAGGGCCAGAGCCGCTTCTCTGGTCGCGACGAGCCTCGGCCACGAACAGGGTGCCCGACCAAGATCAAATCTACCCCCATAGTAACCAGCCCGACACGCGAAGTCGTTTAGTAAACGCGCCCAAAGAAGGAATCTAACAGGGCAGGGCGGTTTAGTAAACGCCCAAGGCCGTTTAGCAAACGCCAATCATCGGGCCCGGGTGTTCTTTCCACCCTTGATCTGAGGAACGGCCAATACACGAGAGCCCCTCTTGGGCCCAACGTAGTCCCTCTTCAAGCGTATTGACTGTAGTGCCCCATGCGGAAGGCTCCGTAATGCCACGCTCGGAACTGTTCGTACTTCGGCGGTCTCTGCCGGGCCGGTGGTGCCCTCGCGAAAACCCAACGGCTGTGGCTTGTGCAGGCTCCGGGACCAACCACCTGCCCCAGACGCCGGCCACTGGACAGAAGCGAGCGGAGAGCTCATGGCGGAGGGCGCCGCCTTGGCCTTGACCAGCGCGTCGATCTCCTCTGCGCGCGCCTCCTGAAAATGGGCATGCGCACATGTTCCAAAGAAAGCGAAGATGGCAGGTTTACTGAGATGGTTGCGCTATCACCGCCCCCTGACCAAAATCATATGACTGCCCATGTTGGACATGCATTGACAACTTCATGTTGCTACATTGGTAATATGAGCCACGTCTACATCGCAGAGCGGGGGAGTGCCTTGGAGGGCCATGCCACTGCTTGACAACAACCTTCCCTCGATTTGAAGGTCGCCACGATCATCGCGGCGACCGTCAAAACCGACCTGGAGGTTTGGTTCCGGGTCGGGTATTACGCAACGATGAGACCAGACTCATGGGAAGAAAACGCGTGAGACTGGAGAAAGGCGAGAAATGCGTAGAGCCTCGGGAAAACAAATAATGTGAGGGCAGCATCGAAA